CACTGCTCGGAAATCATCTTCGATTTTGGTTTGAAGTTTGGTTTCGCTTATATTCCCTTTCATAAGCGGAATAACATGAAAGTTATCCTTCCCGACAAGCTCATCTAAATTGTTACTAGGACGTTGGAGATCTTCTCCCGAATAAAGATAGGTGGTGGCTTAAGTTTCTTTGGGGCTAATTCTTCATACTCTGTTTCAGGCTCCGCCAGAATGGAAAATCTATTTTCATTTAATGGCCCGAGATTTTCAGTTTTGTATTACTCACTCCATGGTGTTTGAGTGGTGAAAGGCAGGGCGGTAGAGCAAGAACTAGCTCTCTGGTTTTCGGCGGTCAGTAAACTTGCACTTTCTTGCACTTTCCCCCTCCACAGGGGATGCTTGGTGCTGGTGGGTGAAAGTTTCTCAATGTACTGGCGTTGTGCTTTTTCTTCTTCGTGCCTTAGAGACTTTGGCTGCTGCGACGAGTACAGACTCCAGTGCATTGGCATAGCATTCGATGTCCTCCTTGAAGTTGAGCTGTGGAGTTAGTTCGATGTACGTACTTTTTGAACTTCAGCCAGTTGGTTCGATGCGACGTCAGCCTGCAAGGGTGCTCGATTAATTCCGGGCTTTGAAGAAGAGTTATTAGTACTGGTGAGTGGTCCGATAATAGATCCAAAAGCGATTTTGCAGATATTAGATTGCGAGAAATATTTTTTGTCACAGCAAAATCAATTAAATCAGGTAGTTTTCTAGGGTCTGTTGGCCAGTATGTAGGACTGCCTGGTGAAACGTAGTCCAGTTTGTTGCATGTTTTGATGAGTGCATTATATATTTGCCTTCCTTTGGGGGTCACAAGGCGAGATCACCAGTGTGTGTGCTTGGCGTTGTAATCACCTGCTGCTATGAATCGCTCGCCAAGTGAATTGTAGAAGTCCATGAATTGGTCTTCGGAGACTGTAAAGCGGGGTGGGCAGTAGACAGCGGCAATGGCAAGGTTGCTGGTGCCCAACTGTAATTTTATCGATGTAGCTTGCAGATAATTTTTTGCAAACCGTTGGTGAAAGTGGTGTTTGATACGGTCTCTTATTAAGATGCCGGTTCCGTCATGTGCTTTACCATCTGGATGATCGGTGCCGCAGAACGTGTATCCTCGTATTTGAAAGTTATATTTGCTGGTGAGATGCGTTTCTGCCAGCAACATAACGTCGATGAGATTTTCGTTCAGAAATTGAGTTATTTTAGGTGCATGACGTGAAACACCGTTGGCGTTCCACAGAGTTATTCGGAGGCTAGGCATAATTTATTTGGACTGCTGAGCTGCAAGCATTTGTAACAAGATATTTTGGTTTTGCATTAGAGTTCGCATGGTGGTTTTCATGAAGGACATAAATTCCATCATATTTTGTTGCAAAGATAATATCATATTTCCATGTTACTTTGTGGCTGTCCCATGGCCTGCTGTATGTTATTGATTTTCGGCTCTATGTGAGCTGTGCCTGATCTTAGAGCACTGGCGTAGCAAATGCTGTTGGTGGTAATTGAAGTGCCAAATGATGACCTGGCTGCTTTTGCGAAGAAAACTTCGGGTGTCGTTTGTGATTTCATGTAAATGTTCTGGCGTGCCGTTGTCGCTCCTTGCATCCGACTTTTCATCTCCTTGTAGACTGGGCAGCCTCTGTAGTTTGCTGTGTGGTTTCCTTGGCAGTTTACACACTTTTTAGTGAGACAGTCTCCCTTGTGGGCAGGGCAGGGTTCGGAGCCGTGGCAGTTTCCACAAGCTACACAAACTGACCTGAGGGTGCAGTAAGCCCTGGTGTGTCCGTATTCCTGGCAGTTTGTGCATTGCACTGGCCCGTTCCGTTTGTGCGGCTCTTCTACTGTGATCCTACGATGCAGAAGGTACTGCAACTTGTAGATCGGGTGCACTGCATTTTTTTCAAAGTTCTGCTGTCTGGCTCCAGCTCGACCTTGAAAAGTGGTTGCGGCTTCTTGTTTTTGTTCATCATGTTTATAACATTTTTGGCGCAAAAACCGTTTTCTTTTAAAGCCTCTATAATTTCGGAGGGGGTCACATCGCGTTCTATTCCCTTGAGGACAACTTGTAAGCCCTTGCCACTTTTCAGCTGGTACGTGTAGTAATTCTTTTTGGCATCGTTTAGGTACTTCGACACTGCTCGGAAATCATCTTCGGTTTTGGTTTGAAGTTTGGTTTCGCTTATATTCCCTTTCATAAGCGGAATAACATGAAAGTTATCCTTCCCGACAAGCTCATCTAAATTGTTACTAGGACGTTGGAGATCTTCTCCCGAATAAAGATAGGTGGTGGCTTAAGTTTCTTTGGGGCTAATTCTTCATACTCTGTTTCAGGCTCCGCCAGAATGGAAAATCTATTTTCATTTAATGGCCCGAGATTTTCAGTTTTGTATTACTCACTCCATGGTGTTTGAGTGGTGAAAGGCAGGGCGGTAGAGCAAGAACTAGCTCTCTGGTTTTCGGCGGTCAGTAAACTTGCACTTTCTTGCACTTTCGGTTCCAGAGTATTACTCGTGAACGAGAACTAAGCATTGTTACGGGCCAAAGAGAGACGACGTTTGTCTTGCTCTCTCTGAATTTTTTCACGGGCTTCGTCTGTTGTTTTTGGCGTTGAGTGCGCTGATCCATGTTCTTACTCATTTATTGATAGAGCGTAATATTAATTAATTAATTAATTAAAACTTTAGTTTACGATATGCGAATTAGCATCGCGCATCGCAAAAACTCGTGCTTATAAATTTTTTCGACTTAGTGGTTTATTGTTTTTCCGGAGCGTTAAGAAAACACGTCTACACGCGACCGAAATTGCTATCTCACCGTAATAATAAACAACATGATGAAAGGGGGTTTAATCTTTAGCAATGGAAGAAGTCTGTCATCACAATTATCCACAAATCCCGAAAGGACAAGACCCAGGCATCGTCATATAGGCCAATCAGCCTTCTGCCGTGTATATCGGAGATATTTGAAATGCTGGTTTTGCACCGAATGTGCTTTTGGAAAAATGGCTAGCAGACTAGCGCATACACCTGCAAACACATAAGCTTTACTTTAAACAGATAAACTTGCTCATAATTATCTTTGAACAATATCGATATTCCACAAACTACTGAAGTCATACCTTGGAGTCCACTTAAATAGACGGCTTACTTGGCGTAAGCACATCGAAGCTAAAAGAAATCTACTCAAATTTAATGCTGGGAGTCTACATTGGCTAATAAACGCCCGCTAAACCAATTTGGACGTGTGGCTGCTAACTATGGGGAAACGCTTGCGTTAGTAACTAAGAAATAATCCAAAGACCTCAATCAAAAATTCTGAATACTATCAGAATAAAAATACATACGGAATGAAAATATCGAAAAAGATTTAAATGTGGAATCTGTAAAAGCCGAAGTCGAGATGATGAAAGCCATTTACATGGTCCAGCTTTAATCTGGAACTCTAGCCATACACGACCTCCGCCAAAGAGACCTTCCCACCCATCAATAACAGTAGGGCCGCGTTTAAAATAAATTTAGTTATAATTATATTAATAAATATACTAGATTCAGATTTATCTATTTGTCGCTAGTCTATAAAAGAGTCGCTAGTCTATTTCTTGAATAAAAAACAGCATAAGCAAAAAAAAATGTGTATATAATTTTTAAAATGTTTACATAATCTTAAGTAAATATTTGCTTAAATTTTTTATTAGGCTACCATACTTTTTAGAAAAATGTTCTATATTTTCGAAATTTGTCCTTATTTTTAGGGTTTCTTGCTTTAAAAAGGAAACGACATTAATTTTAGAAAAGACATTAAAAATAATGGTGCGATGCGATTGAAGACAATTTTTTGTTGGGCTTAATTTTGTTTTGAGTGTATAAGATATTGTTGTCCGACTTTATATATTATTTATACCGTAAAAAAAATAATAAAGCATTTATATTTTCGTAATAAATTTTAATTTATTAAAAAAGAGCCTAGCTTTAATTTTGTTAATTTTGTTTTTTCCCGTTTTTTCCAATAAGAGCTAAACGATGTATTTGCTTGGCCTTAATAAAACTAAAACCGTATGTCTTAATTTAAAACAAGGGGGGCGCTATAGCAAGTTCCCCTACTATTAGATACCCACTTCATTAACAACACCACAATCAAAGAGCAAGCAGCACCCCACCCTACGCTACCGCGACCATATCTTAAGCAGAACAGCGGCAGAACACGACACTAACAGGATAAAACCTATGTCGGCACACAAACATTGACAAGTTTTCCTGTAAAAATTACCCACACAAATTTTGTGCGAGCATTAATTGGAATGTATCTACCGATAGCTATGACCGAAACACGCACACAGTGTCTAATAACTAAAATCCCAAATCTCTAGCTTATATAGATCTCGACGTTCATACGGATGGACATATGGATAGACGGAAAGAGGAGGCAAACGGACAGACACACGGACATGGCTAAGTCGACTGGGATATTCATTGTCGCAAACGCTTCTTTTACCTGTTACATACTTTTTAACGAATACAATATACCCTTTTACTCTACGAGTAACGGGTATAAAAATGGAATTTTGTTTTCCATTTTGCATGCATTGCAAAAATCTAGAAATATTTCTGATCTATCCTTCAATAAAGTATTAAGGATGCATTCAATCCCACCATTTTATGTCTCATAAAAAAGTTATTCCGCCTTAGATCACAAGTATTTGTAGATTTATGTAATATAAACATCTTTTGTTAAAAAGATATTTGCATTCAATTTTTACTTTCAATTTCAAGTTTCTCAAGTTCTACAATTAAAATTAGGGTTAACGACGGTCTATATAAATTCTTTAATCCTATTCCCTGAGATTTGATCAAAATCGGTTGACTTTCCAAACAAATTTTTTATATGTAAACTCTGGTTGATCAGTCGACTATATCTTAAAGCCGCTATAGGAACGTCCTCGTTTTTTTAATAAGTTTGTTTAAAAAAATTCAAATTAAACATACCGTTTCTCAATCTGCATTCCATGCTCGCAGATATAATACTTATTGCAGTCACGTTCGTGGGGCAAGTAGTTTTTTCCGTCACATTTGAAGGTTATGTCAGTCTGGCTAGAGTTTTTTAAAGATTCCTTCTGTGCAGTTGGAGCAGGGGTTTGGTGCGCGTTGATAGTGGGCATGACTGACGGTTTTAAACTTGCAACTAAGGGATTGGTAGGAATTAGGTATTAAAATGCGGAACATTTTTAGAAAGTACTTACTCATTGTGTTCTCACTTTTTTCAAGTAAGCACTTTGGATGTGGACCCCCGAAATTTCTCAGAACACGATTTATTGTCTTGAGCAAGGGATAAGTCTCACATCCACAGTTATTTTTAAAGTCGTCCAGATCCAGAGCCCAGATCATAGCTCCGCCAAGACCCATCGCCTTGATGTACTCACTTTTATGTCGAATCATGGGTGCATCGTCAAAGGAGACCCACTGATCTCCCATATAAGCGAATGGTCCCATCCGACCCCTGGCATCCCTTACTACGTTCCATCTGCGCTGGCGGATATAAAAGCAGATTTCATAGTACGCTAAAAACCCTCTTGCCCTTGTGGCCTCACCCGCCTCACCGCCACCGTTGGTGGGCGCGTTTAGCTGATGCTCACTGATCTTAGACAGCGAGAAAGACTGACCATACATGGGCAATCCCATTATCAACTTTCGACGGTCAGCTCCCTTTGATATCCAGTAGTTTATGGAAAAATTTGCGTTAAAGTAATCTGTTCCTTCGGGGTGGTCGTACATGGGCGCTACGTGACCAGTTTGCTTGTCCCACTGCCCGTGGTAGTCGTAGGCCATCACTGAGATCCAGTCAAAATAGCGGGATAGCTCGGGAATATCGTATCCGGCATCAATTACCTTTTTGTTGGGGGACACTGCAGCCGAGAGTATTAAGCCCCTCGGCCGAAAGGACTGCGACAGCTCCCGCACCAGGTCGGTGAATCCTTTCTTTTCGTCGAGCGTACCTTTTTTACAGTCCACCTGCCAGCACACCGGGTACTCCCAGTCTAGGTCCAGGCCGTCAAAATTATACCGCTCGATGAAGTCCAGCACGTGGCGGATGAAACGTCCTCGTGCCTTTGCGTTTCTTACCAGTCGGGCATATTTATCGCCAGCCGAGTCGTTCCAACCGCCAATGGCTACAGTTACTTTAGTGCCCCTCTGGCGGTAGGCCACAACTCGTTCATAGAATTTGTTGTCTAGATCCGCCCAGGAGTCATGAGGCTGTATTGTCAGGTTTTCCCGGTTCAGTACAGCGAAGCCGTACACTATGTGAGTACAGAGATCTGCGTCAATATGTTCTGGCAGGAACTTTCCACCGCCTTGGCGGTACCACGCCCAGTTTGTAAAGTAGCAGATGACCTTAAATTTCATGGACACACTAGGCCCAGGGATCGGGTTGTTGGATTCCATTTCAATGTATTCCTCCACATTCAGGTCCACTTCGTTTTCTTGTAAAGTTTCCGTGGATTCTCCCCCAATACTGGCCTCTGTCTCCGCATCAAGAGGCTGCATTGAAAGAGCTTCATGCACGCCATCTGTTTCTTCGGCTGTTTCTTCCGGTTTTCCATCGGATTCACTTTCAGCAGAAGAGGTTCCAGCTTCTCCCGAAATAGATTGCTCCGCCACAGACTCTGGATCAGCTAAGACAGCCACAGTAATAAGTTGAATGATCATAAAGCGTGCCAATGTGGTACAACTATTGTAACTTACGCGTGGGTTGGAAAAAACTTGGTGGATCCTTAAGCACAGCGTGTATCTCCTGTAGCAAGGGATACACGCCCTTTCCACACCGATTGCGAAAGTCATCGAGGTCGAGCGCCCAAACCATGCCTCCGCCTAGGTCCAATGATCTCACCAATTGGGCCTTTTTCCGAATCATGGCTGGATCGTCGTAGGATACCCACTGTGTTCCTTTGCGAGCGTACGGACCCATGCGGCCAAGTTCATCCTGGACTACTTCCCATCCCTGGTGGTTAACCCGGTCACAAATCTGTTTGAAAAACAAATAATTATTATTATATATATGCATTTCGTGTTGTAAGACAAATTTAAAAAAATGGCTGCTTTAATGGTAAAATACGGCATAATTTTGCTACGTGTCGTATGAGTAATTTGTTCGGAAACTTTAAAACTATTACCCAAAATGGATTTTAGATAGATACATTCACTAACAAAATGGAACGCCAACGTCGACTATTAGATACCCTTTACTCAGCGTATAAATTTCAAAACAAGAAAGAACGCTACAGTCAAGCTACCCGACTATTTTAAGCCCGTTACTCATATAACAAATGTCAAACTAAATCTTTCCCCACAGTCATGCAATAACACCACCCCACCGACGCGATGAGCGCCAAATAAAGATCAGTTCCTAACGAAATACTGTTGTGTTGAACGTTGAACGGAGCGGTACGAGCAACCTAGACACGCGATATACGCTGCTTACATGTGTTGCTTTGAGCATAAGATTTTCTTTGCTCGTGTAGACTGCCAAGACGATTGGTATACTTTACGGTATCCACAATAGAAAAGTCCACAAGGCGCACTTAACGGTGCACTACGACAAGATGAGGGAAATATAACTAAAACGACGATTTCAACCTAAGATTGCTGCGATGGACAGGAAAGGCGGTCGACGTGAAAAGACAAGGATCAAGCGACAGAGTCAGGCTGTTTAAAGAGGCAAATTCGGACACTTAAATACGGAGCTGCAACGGCGTGGGAAAACCACTCAATGAGGAGCGGACCGCGGCTAAAATTGTAGCGACAGCGGAGACTTGTGACTGCATCGTAGCTACATCAACGTGGGAGGTCTACAAACAAACAGAAATCAAGTGTCGGACCGCGGCTTACATATCGGCAATCGACAGCGGAGGTTTGAAAATTATCTACAACGGCAGTGAGGTCCACAGATAATAAAAATCAAGAGTCGAACTACGCCTAATAGGATAGCGCCAGTGATGGCTTGGTATTAGATGGAATAATTTCATCAAAAATTTAACCGAGTATTGGAAAAAGCACAAGATTTTTGGGAAGCAGCAGCGAAGAAAAGTGCTGGTCCACAACCCTTGACAATCGAAGAATACAAGGCCCGACAATGAAGTCCTAACCAACTCAGGACAAGAATAAAAAACCAAAAGATCTGGAAAAAAGAAGCGGCATAGGCGGAAAACTAAAGAATTATATATTATCAACCTATCAACAGGGGAATATAAATAACAATTATTTAAAGAATTAGAAATTTTAAGAAATAAATCCTCTTATAAATGAAGACAAATTATAATAAAATGGTACACACAAGAGAAATACTTAATGATCTGGCTGCTAGTCAATCAGCCTTATATAGCCTGATGAAGAAGAATAAGAACTGGAACTGTGTGCCGCACATCTACTAGAAAAATTTTTGAAAAAATTCGACCATAGCGACGAAAATTTATGTCTTTGCTTCGAGTGATTCAACAATTGCGTTGAGTTCGATACAAAATTGGAGAAATAAAGACATGTTTATACGATCAAAAGTAGAACAAATCAAGCAGCTGACACCAACGACTGCATGGAAACACATAGGGTGAAAGGGAAATCCTGCTGATTTAGGAACGAGAGGTATAAAATTAGACAAGCTTGGAATCTGAACTTTGGTGGAAAGGACCGAAGTGGCTTAAAAAAGAAAAGAAAGACTGGCCCTTGGAAAAGGAGGAAACAGTACTATAAACTTTAAGCACGGTAAAGCAGGAAAATGTTGTGCATGAATTCAAAATAAGCAATATGGGAAAAGTAATAGTAAAGTAATAGCTTATGCACTGAGATTCTTAAGTCGATGTTAAAAAGAAACCTTGGCAGGATCAAATAATTTATCAGTAGAAGAATTGGAACGAGCAGAAATGAAAATATTTAAACTACATCAGATTAAAGAATTTCCAGAAAAATTGAGAGAAAACAAGAATGGAAGCAAACTACGGCGCGCCGAAGTTTATATACCCTTGCAGCTCTTGCAGTAATTAATTATTCTTGAAAACATTAAAATTATGATTGACTTGCTTAAATGTTTAAGCTATGATGATTTGCACCTCAATTATTCGATAGTTCCTGTGGCAGCTATATGGTATCTATATCCGATTTTAATCAAATTTAAAGCGTAACTCCGAAATGTGAAATTATTAACTAGTCAAAAATAATTAAAAAAAAAAAAACTAAAAAAGTTCAATTTATAAAAAATTTATTTTTAATTTTTTTTTTGTTTTCGTGGGAGTTTTATGTTATAGTCGTCCGATTTTGATGAAATTTAAACCTTTTTCCTATTGGAGCAATATGCTATAGTCGTCCCATTCGGCTTGTTCCGACTTATATACTACCTGCAATAGAAAGACAACTTTTGGAAAAGTTTCATGCAGATAGCTTTAAAACTGAGAGACTAGTTTGCGTAGAAATGGACGGACAGACGGACATGGCTAGATCCACTCTCCTAGTGATGCTGATCAAGAATATATATACTTTATAGGGTCGGAAATGTCTTCTTCAGACTTCTGACTGAAATTATAATACCCTCTGCAAGGGTATAAAAAATCATAAGTCAAATTACGAATGAGGACTTCTAGTGTCTCTAAACCAGCAATAATAATTAAATAACTGATTTCTTCGTTCAAACCAACGTTTAAATTTTTAAAATAAAAATTAAATTGTAAAAATGGAACTGCCTGCAACATCAGCCGTAGCCGCAGCCGCAAAGCATTACAAACTCCTAAAGGTGTGTTTACAAACATTTTTTTTCGCAACTAAAGCAGATAAACGAATTTAATGCAGACTCACTCTATTTGGCTCTCTTAGCAAAGGAAGGCGTCGAGTTAGTTTACCATTATCTGAAAACATCAGGAGCCCAACATCAAATTATAGAAACAGACATCCGAAACCTTCTAATAGAATGAGCCCGAACATTGTTGATGAGAAATGTACCACAAGACTGGAAGAAATTAAGAAATGTAATAATAAGCGCGTAAAACAGCGCAACACCTCTACATCGAATGGTTAGGGAATTCCAAAATAATAATTACCAAAATCCATATAATAACAATCAACAAAGACAGAACTAGTTTGACTCTAATAGGAATAACGAATAATTAAAAAAGAGAAAATCGCTTTAATAATAAAGAAAAACAGGAAAAGAAGCAAACTTCGGCAAGCCGAAGTTTATATACCCTTGCAGCTATTGCAAGAATTAAATATTTTTGAAAACATTTCAATTATGATTTACTTGCGTATATGTCTAAAAACATTGAAGCAATAATGATTTGGAGCTCAATTATTCGATAGTTATTTTATACGGGCAGACGGACGGACAGACAGACATGGCTAGATCGACTCGCCTAGTGATGCTGATCAAGAATATATATTTTTTATAGGGTCGGAAATGTCTCCTTCACTGCGTTGCAAACTTCTGACTGAAATTATAATACCCTCTGCAAGGGTATAAAAATGAGATAGACTCCAAGAGTAAATTAACACTGTTTGCGCACTCAGCGCTTGTATTTAAATCTCTAGTTGTAGGGCGAGAGCGGGAGCCAATAAAGCTTTCGTCTGTTCGCTCTTGCGAATTCGCCCCGTCTCTCGCCACTCCTTTTCGTCGCGCTTTCTACATAGTTTTCACAAAGTTTCGCAAATTAAAATCGTCTCGAACTACTGCGTTCACAAAGTTTTCGCGTTATTAATACAAAATAGTATTCAATTTTCATGGTGACTCCGACGTGATTAGCAGTAGAGTTCTCGAGTTTTAATTTTTTTTTTTCTTCGGTGAAAAACTATAAACAATACCAACAAAAACCAATTTATTCGTGTCGGTTCGGCCAATATTAAATTCAATAATTTCGTCGCTGGAAATTTTCTGCCGTTCTTGAAGTTGCGCCTGACGTTTCGGCAAATTTAATTCCTCAATTTGCTGCTGCCGCCAAATGGAAGTCAAAAAGGAAGTTGCAATTATCAAGTCGGCCATCCAGGTATAGAGTGTCAAAAGTTGAAAGTTAATCTGTGGCGTTTTGTCAATTGTTTTTTGGCCCATCTTTCAACTTTTTGCATTCGTGTAAAAATCGGTAGATAGTGAGCATTCTAACCAAGAAATAAAAATTTGCATATACTAACAACCAAAACATAATATATTTCGAATTATATGTGAATCGCTTTGGCCAAAAAACAAGCAATAAAATACTCGTCGTCGACCCAATTAGTGCGAACTTAATTCCCCCAACTTTCGTCCTAGTGAGCACCAATTTAGGGTATAAATATAAATAGCTGGAAAAAAGTGCAAATTGTGAAAAGTGTAGCTCTCAGAAAATTAGCGGCAATAACTTTCGCCGCAGTTTGTCCGAACATTTCCCGCGCTTTTCAGAATTTTTCCGCGCTTTTCATAATTTTGCGCGCATTTTGGCGTCAGGCTAATACATTCGTTGCCCTTAGTTATTGGTCAGTGTATCATTCTCCGTTAGCATTTGCATAGGAAGAGCCGCTAGCCGCGTACACAAACACACGCACACCGACACCGCTGCCGCTATTTCGAGTTATCTTTTGTCGTTTTCGTTCTCGATCGCTGCAGCAGTGCAATTTTCGGTCTGCCTAAACGTTTGTTCGTCTTTTCGGTACGCTTGAGCTTGAGCGGTAGCTCCCCTACAGTGCGTGCGAGCGGCATATACTGTCGCAGGGTTTATATAAAAAATATAAAAACCCTATCTATATTTTTCGCTGTAATTCTCTCGGCACTTAGCTCCCTTACACCGTGTGCGATCGGTATATTACTCTTTGATTTTTTATTACATTATTAGTTAGGGCCTTCCAAGTCACTGCGGAAAATTATCCCAAAGCCCTTGCTAGCCTGAAGCGGGTGTACGATAATGATTGTCTTATTTTTTTTGACAACATATCGACACTTTTTAATTTGCAAAAAAATTTCCCAGCCTTCAGCTACAGCCTTGAGAACCCTCATCGACACGGTCACAGCCTTGTATG